AGTTATATTGCTGAAGTTCCTCTGAAAGAACTTCTACGGAAATTAACAAACAAGCAGAGACGTAACAGTTACATCATTCGTGGATCTTACTCATACCAGGTGTAATAAAAGCGCTAAAATCTTTGAATATTAAGAATATTATAAAATAATTATAAATTTTACAACGCAGTAGGAATAGAACGCTGTGTGGTTGGCGAGTATTTGCATATCTTTCTGTCGAGATATATATATATATATTCGTACGCCACGATAGCACTAGGTTTGTAAGAAACATCGCAGTCTTAGATGTTAGAGGCTTTTTTGGTTTTTAGTTATGAATGTCAGAATATGTCACTCATCTCCTGAAACTTTTTAAATGAAAAATATTTATAAGATATTGGATAAATTTATTGATGTTTTTAGAGAGTTTTTCGTAACTCTGAATTTTATTTGAACTTTTCCCAGAAATATAAGTTACCATTGCCATTTAGACATCTTACAATATTTAAATAAAAATTATAATTTTTGTTCTTCTCTTGTTATAAGCTGTATTTTTAATATTGTAATTTATGTGTTATATAGAAGGTGATTAACGTTAAGATCACGTCCTAGAATATTCAGGAATATTTGTGATCAAGATACTTTGCGAAGTGTCTAGAAACTAGGCTAGAGATAGAAATACGAGTAAACAGCTAGTTCAGGAGTGGTGAATATTGAATGAGTTTTGAATAGTCAGTTTAGTTCAGTGAAGCATTTAGGTCAGTATTAATGATCACGTATATTCAGTTATTCGATGTGTTAGTTGTGTAATTGCACAAGTAAGTATACTTTTACATTACTCCAAGTACCGTTTGCAAAGTATTTCTGCTTGAAAAGTCATTTGTAACTTAGGCCTACAAATTACAACGGTGTGCAAGCTTGTACTAGTGTAGAAACGTTAAGGAAGAAATAAACTAATTTATCATTACGTGGTCTTAACTTTGAATTATTTTCACCAAATAATTTAAAAGAACCTGCCCAACAAATGAACGGAATTATAACACTGTTTTGGATAAGGTGATTTACTCTAACTAAGAAAATTCTATTAAATCGAACAATACAGATTTGTATCAGTTAGAGAATATTTCTAGTGTCGATTTTTTATAATACTTTCTGTCTGCGGACTTACAACGCTAGAATCCGGGTTTCGATACCCGTGGTGGGCAGAGCACAGATAGCCCATTGTGTAGCTTTGTGCTTAATTACAAACAAACAAATAATACCTTCTTTCACAGTTTTTCGCTGTAGAACGTGATAAATAAAGTATCTTTAGACTTGTATTTTTGGGATAAATATTTAATCAAATGTCTTTACAAGGTCGGAGTAACTTGTTTTAACTATATATGTGCACACGTTCATAACACTCCAGAAAGACATAAAATTATAGCCAATTTTTGAATTTTTAGGCAAATCTAAAAGTCTAACAATAATAGCTGATTTTAAAGCGAGAAGAGTTTTGTGGGAAATTTTACAAAGTTTATAGTCAAGATACTTTAAAAATCAATTTTATGATATTTTTTATAGCATAAAGATCAAGAACATCATTTCACAAAATTTTGTTTGGTGGCGGGGGGGGGGGATGGATAAAGAAGGTTGTCCTCCAATTCTGCTGGGGTCCTACGCTAGGGGATATGTTGCGTATACATATTAATCCGGCCTGACTAGATATATTTCACAGAAACTGCCATTTGGGGTCTCCTCCCGAGCTCAACGACCTGGTACGGTGGGTTCCACCTATCAGAAAACAGATGGACCTTAGTAATTTCAACTAATTATACAACCGAGTTCGTTGCAACATCGTTAATAGTGTAAAATGAATGTATGAGATTTATTATTGTGGTATTTGTGGTTTTAATGTCATCGACAGTTTTCGATATTTATTAGCCAAGTAATTTCATAATCGTCTTTTTAGATGTAATTTTGTTTTAGACGATATTACAACTTGTATATATTTTAACCAAATGGAAACTAAAAATTTGGAATTATGCAATGGTTACCATAACAAACGTTAACCATGACCTAATTGATAATAATTGTTTATCAGGCAGGCGGTAGCACCGCCTATGTAAGAATAGCTGGGATTGTTCATAGAAATGGTGTTTTAGATATCTCCTCAATAGGTAATCAGAACCCTACAATACTGTACAGTGTTTCCTTTTACAACAATATCTATGTAATGACTGAGTCACAAATTTCTGAAAATGTCTGTAAATACCATAGCAAAAAGTTTGAATTTCTTGTTCTTCTTTCTTCTACTTCTTTTTTATTACAAAACTCAAAATCAAAACAATGGTGTCAACTAATTTCACTGAGGTGACATAGTTTCAAACTGAGTATCCGCTTTTATAAGTATTATTAACTAGTAATGATTATAAGAAATCAAAATTCTAGTGTAAACGATGTTATCATTACCCCTTGAAGTTAGCTTTCTCACATACATGTAGTGTTCCTTTATAAAGCTTAAGTACAGGGTGAAACAGGAATTACCAGACAATAATAGATAAACAATAAATATTACAGTTGGAACCTCATTGTATTTTGAACTTGGTTATAAATACAATCTTCATATGTTTATTGAAACACTGCATTTAAAAAACAAGTAAAGAAAAAACTTTTCAATAAAGGAAGTAAATGTAGACACACAATGTAATAGAATGTTAACAGACAAAAATAGGATAAATTAAACTCAATTTTGATTCAATAATTATATATATTACTATATGTTAATTCTTGCCTGTGCTATTATGTGGGGATG